GATGCTAAATTCTGAAAATTTTGTAGCATTGCCTATTTAAATAGGCAATAAATTCATTGCCCACATAAAAATTCTTGAATAACTTTCGGGAAATAGGCTAACACACATGGGGATAAGGTTAGCGCAAAGCTGCGGGAATTGAGGCCCTGGCGAAGATGTACAGGGACGCTTTCAATAAGGTAGTGTAGGCCTTGCTAAATGGTGATGGCTAATGTAAAAAATATCCCCATTACCCCAAAATCGACCAAGGAGTCCGAATCTGGTGACACATTTACTAATTGATATGATCTTGCAAATTTTTGGCAAGATTGGATGACGGACAAGACTCATGGAACGGAGGTAGTATATTGCTAGAGCAATACTTACAAGTATTGACAATGATACGCGGCTGGTACCGAGACGACTTTTTGAATGTTAAGCAGTGTGCATGTGCAGGTTGAAAAAGAGTATTCAAGTTATTTACATTGCAGTGATCGGCGTGAGACATCTGTGCGTTGTTCACTTCTGCCATTGTAAGATCAGGGCAGCGTCTTCTATCCACGCGAATGCACAAACGATGGACTCGCTCCAAGCAATAAAATCGTGACAATGAGAAGAAACTCTGTCCCATCGCTTTGCAAATTGCTGCATACCTCATCTGCAAGAGCTTCCAAGGTTTCAAGATTTTGAATAGGATATTTGGAAGTCAACGCGGATAAAAACGGATTGAAGCTCGAAATGCACTCTTTCATACTTTTTTCATCGGATTTGTTTCCAGCCTTCAATAACGATTCGCAAAGTTGTGGTTGGCCAAATTTGTGGCATTGTCGAGAGCGGAGACCTACTCAAAGAGTAAATAACCACATCGTGGAAGCGGGCATGTGATGGTCTTCAGATGCGCTCGTACGCATTACAGAGATACGTTATGAATCTCTGTAATGGCGTGGGACCACGTTGCATCCAGACTCTGATACTGACTGTGGAGTACCCATTTGCGCATCTTAGGCCGCCTCAGTGGGTGATACGAAAATTTGGCCACGGCGCTCCCAGCTGCAGCCGGCCCAGAACGGCACCCTCCATGTCCCGCTTTCAGCGCACATCCGGCTACCGCCCGCCCACCGTGGACATCGGCGTCCTTGAGGCCCTTGTGGAGGGCGGCGAGCCGGCCAGCAAGCCCCTTCCTCCCGAGGGTGCGATGCCGCTTTTTTTTAATGTACTGGGCACTACCTTTGCTGTTTTGGACATCCTGGCGCCAATACGCTCAATTGGTTAATTGATTGGCGCAGCAGCGAGTCAAAGCTTCGGTGTTGATGAAGCGTGAGCCGATATTAAGTCGATTGTTGCAACAGTGCTGGACCGGAGAAACACTTTTCCGAAGGGCCTAGTACCATTTTTCATCCGCTGATAAATAAATCATGCGCCCTGGGCTGTTTCCTATGCTATTATTGCCACAATAGGAATATAGCGAGAGTATGCTCCACAAAACCGATGCATTTCCCCCTAAAGGATGGTCCAAGTGGAACTAACCATTTCTCACAGCTTTTTACCCACCTTGGGCCTTTTTGCATGAGAACTGTTTCCTGGAAATTTTCTTCCTCCACAAATAAAAGTGATCTCATGTATAAGCGGTGCTGCTGTACAATTCCCTAAGTGCTGGGAGCTGAGTCCCTCATGACAGGAAGGTATCTAACGATCAAAATGATTGCGGTAAGTCTCCCTCCATTTTGATCGCATTACCCTAAAATGCACCAAATCACACGAAACCAAGCACCCTAATCTGGGGATTTTGCCGCGTGCGATGCTGAGTGGTTCGACTTCCGCCACTGGACACAGGTCAGCCCTTCACGAATTTGGCCAAATGGGCACTGTCCCGCGCCGACAGCTACGCGAATCTGGTGCAGAGTGTGTACCGTTACGCAACGGAGGATTCACGCACCTTCGACCAGATGCTGTCTGAGGTTCGGCGGGAAGGGGGCGAGACAAGTGGGCCCGGAGGAACGCCGGCGGGTGAAAGCTTACGCGAAGCAGCTGAGGCGGTCCAGGAGCGTCCAGAGAACCGCTGCGTAGAGCCTCATCGGGAACCGGGGCGTGGGAAATGGGATGCGCTCAGCCCTCTCGAGGTGTGGAGCTTTCTTTCTTCGTGGAAATTATTCTCTTCATAATTTTCGTGCACATGATTTCTTGACTCTTTTTGTCCTGTGTACCATCTGTCCATTGTATGTGCGTACGTGCAAGGGAATTGTAAGCAGGAAATGCTGCACAAGCAACTTTGTGCAGTTGCAGTCCATAGCAAAGGCTGGACGTGATTGTGCGTCTACCGAGTTGCTATTCTGTTTCTCTGTGTATCCGATCATTCTTTTTCTGGGTGCTCGAATGTATACATAAAATGCAAAGTTGCCGTCAGGGATATTCCACCATGGGGATACCTAGGCGTCAATGCGAAGATATTGGGTGGAAAAGTGGCTCACACATCCAAGAATGGGAATGCGAATTTTTAATAGGGTTGAGATGGGAGCAATGACACAATAAAGTACGTTAAGCTCTGCCAAGGACCATGGGGCACTCGGTAAATCGACTACCGTTTTGATGGGCAAACGGCTGTCAGCGTACTTCTCTGAGCGACGCCAAGCTTTCAATTCATTTCTTTATGAAGAAAATGTATGAGCATTGCTCATTGAGCAATAAATGGGCAATGCAAGTGGAGTTAAGAAATTTGAATATATGAAAATAAAACAGATCGTGGAAATGTGCACAATAAACATATCGTTACTGTACAGGAATAGAAAATTGCTCCTTCCTCTCATTTTCTGACTGTTACAGCAGTTGTGAAATTAAGAAATTGTATGAGAACAATATTTTAGCAGATACACGTACGTGGTATTCATATTGTAGTGTGGATATTTCTGGCAACGCGAATCCATATCTGCAGGATCGAATCAATTTACGTCGCCATATGAACTACTTACATTCTTGGTACTTCGTTTGGCATAGATGTGCAGCTCTGGTGGTTGACAGTATCTCTCAGATTCAACATGACCTTTTCATTAAATCAACAAAGCGAATTCACGGAAAGAATATTCCAGCGTTTTTGCACGCTTTTGTGTGTTCTACATGAATTTTGAATGGATAATTTTTCTTTTGCGTTTTCTTTCATTTTTTCGATTGGTTGGCTGAGATGCTCAGTGCACTCCTGCAGTAGCTGCGAGAGGTTCGCAGACCGCAGACGGCAGCTGCGCGGCAGAGGAGGAGGCTGCGGCTGTGGAGCGCCAATCCCAGTCGCCCGAGGATCGGTGAGCAGCTGCCTCCCCACCATGAGGCCAAGAGGCTCTGGAAGGATATACCAAAGCAACGGAAAGCTCCTTCGGTGAGAAGACAGCCGATCAGGCAAAAGCGACAGCAAGCACAAGCAGAAATACAAATTTTGCGGCGCCAGCTGCGACGCCATTTTGACGCTGAGAGGCGCCATCGCGGTGACTGCGATGGCGCAACAGCATATGTGGCGGCGCCAATTGGCGTCAAATGGCGTCACAGTTGGCATCGCCAAAATGCCACCTCCTACTGGTGGAAACGCTCATGCGAAAGCATTTGGATAACCAAAGGTGGACATTTGGTTCTACGTCCACGATACATTAATGGGCATTTAGAATTTTCGATTTTATTGTTTACAAACAATCGAAACTATCACCTTTGCCACTGCTGTTACGAATGCGGCAATTCGAATAGCTTTAATCGATCCATTGTTCTAACAATGGCCATTACCGCCTTTCCGTTTGTTTGCAATGACTCATATTTGAGAGTACTGGGGAGCGCTGAGCGCTCCGTTCCACAAGTAAACAATGTCGGATTCTTAGCTGCACCCCGCTAGCGTATTGCAATCGAACAGGGGGAGTTTGGGTTGGTGATGAAGCCAGACTGTATTCCAAAAGATGCAGCATCTGGGTGTCCCTCGTTTTCGCGGAATGAGTTGGTGGCATAATGCAATGTGTTGTACAACCGTTCCTTCGTTCTGCAACGCCAGAATCGATCTGAGGCACGAGCACTCTCGATGGCAATGGAGCTGGCCCTCGAGGACATCGGCGCTCCCGCCACAATCCCGCCGCCCCCGGCGCTGCCCCCGAATGTGGACGCGGACCCCCAGTGCGAGGCCGCCGCCATTGAGATGCTCAGGAGGCAAGCGCCAACCGGTTTACTGCGATGATTATCGAAGGCGGCGATGATCGACGCGGCGGACAAATAGGAAAATTTTGAGTGCGTCGGCAGGAGGTTTGGGAATTTAGGATCTCCTCCACGCAACTCTGAGTTGCGTTCTGACGAATGACGATTGTGAATGATACATTTCCTGAGCATAACGGAACGGCAGGGGCACCGTCTCTGTGCATTGCCTGGGAGGAGGATATTGTGTTGCTGTATTTAACTCCAGAGCTTAATAATCAATATCACTTATATAATATGAACGCCTTACCTTGAAATTGCCAGGGCAGTGCTTAATTGTCCGCAAGCAAATGCAACTCAGGGATTTCAAAACAAGGTAATGCGTATTCATAATGCAAACCACATTTAAACTACACTGTCTGGCTGGTGTCTTGTTATAGTCACACGAATAAAAGGAGTGTTTAATTCTGGCCTTCGGGGCGAAATCCATAGGCAATTGGTCTGTGGTAAACGCCGGAAACCGCCGCTTGCACAGCACATTGTAGTATGCGCCCTACAATGATGGATTACAATATGAGCATTGCCATCGATGTCACTGAACACATGCGTCGCATCGTTCACAAAAATCGGGATTGAAAGTTCTGAAAACATTTTGGAGATGAATGGAAGATTTCAATGATGCAACGCTTAATTTCTGTCAATGTCAGGGTGGCATTCGGAGATGTGCTTGTAGTGAAACAGGGAACGACACATTCTCTTGTGAAGTCTAAATATCATCTGATGAGCATGGTTTGTCAAAACAGCGGTTTCCGCTACAAAACATCAGCAACAGATCCGATTGGCGCATGGGTTTCGCAGGTGGAATGCAGCTGAGCCCATTGCGCGAGAGCTTCACGTCTTGGATAGAATCCTGCAAGAGACGGTGCGCCAAGTCGGTCTGCACTGCTGGGAGCGTGGAAAGCTGCTCCAAAAAGTGAGGGCCAGGTACTGGAGCATCATCGAGGTGAGCGCCCTTTTCGAAAGAGCTGGTGCAAACAAACAATGTGAAATGCTGAGCCTAATGCGGCTTTGCCAACACAGGGTTGCTGGTTTACCTGTGCGGAGGCACGCCTGGTGCCTGTGCGGCGGAATTTTTGCAGCAGCAGCAAATTCGCCATAAAGATCTTGAGGGAAGGAAGCTTCATATGGCGCGGAGTAGAATGAGGCAGTTGTAGATCAGATGCGCCTTCCTGAGGTTTCGTGCTTCAGCCCAAGTGTTGCTGGGTTACCTGTACGGAAGCATGTCTGGTGTCTGTGCAGCGGAATTTTTGCAGGAGCAGCAAATTCGCCACGAAGATCTTGAGGGAAGAGAGCTTCATATAGCGAGTAATAGAGTGAGGCACTTGTAGATATGATGCGTCCTTTTTGAGGTTTCGTGCTTTAGCGGAAGAGGGTGGCTAAAAGGCTCTCTTTGAACGCGCAGTTGTCAAATCGACATCCCGTCGATTAAAGCACTCCCACCAGGACCAGAAGCAAAATTTTACGACATTCACAGGCCCCAAGCAAAATATGTCCCCTGGAAGGTATCCAAAGGGCCCTACTGTCCACTCTTGTTGATCGAATACCTCCTGAGAAGGAAGCCTTCATTTTCTAGCATGATTATGGGCCGCGCCTAGTCCGGTAATCTGGTCCTCGTTGTTGACCATTGCCATAATGCACAGCTGTGACTGACTGTCCAAGACACAGTCCCACGCTATGCACATCCTGTACACCATTTGAAACTGCTTTGAGAGAATCGGGGTTCCAAAATTGTATGGTAGAGGCCCAAGCATGTCTGCTTGGGAAGTTTTCAAAGACATATGTAGGTATTTGGAGCGTATGGGCATAAGTGTAGCAGATACTGTCAACACACATGTGAAATTATTACATTAGAAGAAGAATGTTCATAGGACAATAGTAACGGATGGAAAACATGAGAAGAGGAAAAATTTTTACGAATACCGAAACTATACGCAATGTGGACTTTCTGGTGTGCTAAAACGATTTTAACAATATCTGTTCTCGCGGTCTACTCGCGCAGGAGGCGCTGGGAATTTCATCCATCCTGAAGCGCGACATGATGTCGCTCAGAAAAGACCTTCGCGACCGCATAACGCAGTCCGTGCAGCACGCCAAGGACAAGGAGATTCTGACCCGTCGGCTCATCGAAGAGACACAAACGACTGCGGGATTGAGGGATGAGCTTGGAAAGATGGCTCATGAAGTAAGAGGCTGTCATTCTAACATATTCAAACATGTCTAACAAATGTCTAAGACATTTCCTGCAGCCAGCTTCTTCATTGGAGGACTTGCCGCTCCCGCTCTGGGCGCCTTCTGAGAAGAGATGTGGCATTTTGTTGATGTCGTGGCGAACGTTGTTACAACGGTAACATTGTTCCTTTTCACACTTTTGCCGCTGTTCTGTCGCTACATAAGCTTCAGCGTTGCAACCAACAGTCAAGATTAGACATACAATTGACAGCCTCCAACCTGAGCAAAAACTATTGATGGAACAAGTGCACATCAAGTTTTTGTTACCTATGGGCAGCGCTTGACAGAATCGCTTAGTTTGAAACTTCAAGGCGAAATTTAGCTTGTATTTTATTCACAAATTATGCTGCATAACGTTACATTGCATGGAACTCTATCATATTCAGTATTGAATTTCAGCTGTGTTGCTGCTGGCCGGGGCAGCAAAGAGTATCGAACAGAGGTTGTGTGCAAAAGAACAAATAGTGAAATTCGCGCTAGCCGCGACCTATTTCCAACCTTTGGACTGTCTAGAACTGGACGCCCGTGCAGCTCTGATCTGAACTATTACCTAACAATTGATTTATTGATTGCATCTCATGCTGATTGTCGTCAAGGAAAGCCGGTTAGCTCAATGTATATGAAGTTGAGCAAATTGGGATGGTGGGGAGGCGTCCTTGAAGCCACATTCTTTGTGACGCACATTAGCCTTCGGCCTTAAGAGAGATCATATGCTTTCAACTCTTTTTCGGCAGTTCAGTGCCAAAGCACTGTTTAGTTCAGTTCCCGCTCGCCAAGTGTCAAAACATTTATTTAAATTTATAGCCATCGACGCACGCTTCGTGGCATTAGGGCTTCACAGATTCCTAGACTCTGTTTTTTATGTAATAGATTTTATTGAACTGATCATAGACACAGTTTTATGGGGGGAAATAGACAGCTGACGGCTACCTCATTGCCTTGTTATATAGAATGATGATGACGGCTTTCATTCGATGAGTTCAGGAATGCCATCTTGCCACAAATCAAACGCGCATTTCAGATGTTTAATTTTCAGCAACAATGGATCGCAACGACCTATTGTAATTCACCCAACAGGTTGAGGCGATGGAGCGGCGCCTTCGAAGGGGTCGTTTCGATATCATCGAAGAGGAGCTGGCGAAGTACAAGTTCAAGATGGACAAGCAGATGGTCGATTTCTCGGACCGAACTCGAAGGGCTCTGCATCAAGAATTCGAGGAGAAGCTGAGAAAACGCCAACAGGCGGCGTCCTCCGGAGACTCTCATTCCGGGGAAGAGTCCACCTGAGAGCTCGTTATGGTTGTCTGTGGCACACCGTTCAGCCCTTGTTTCAAGGACTTGTGAGGAGGACACACAATGGGGAGCCCCTACTCTGAGCAGCATTGCTTGGTGATATTCTTTAGCAATCTGTTGTTGATTGTACGGAAGCTTCACAGTGCGGCGGCACGGAACACAAGACAGGGCCACGAATTCTCGAAGGGAAATTTTAGGTTACTAGCAGTTGGCTTAGCAGCCTCGATGCGAAGGAATGCCGCACATTTGATGGTGGTGAATCTTTTCAGCGTGAGTATTTTCGTAGCATGGACATGCAGTTTGACTTTATATGTGATGTTGCGAGTCGCTGGCAGGTGTAATAATTTGTAAATATGTACGGAATATATGACTCAGATGGAGCCAATCTGATGTGTCGACTTCGGTGTGGCATTTCTAACATCTGGGAAATCCACATTTTTCGTCGTTCCATCTGCTCAGTTGTTTTCTTTGGCTATCCTGGTCACGCAAGTTCATTTGTGATGCGCATTCCTCGTGGCAGGGCATTTATGCAGGAAATTGATCGAGTGGATTAACAGGGGACTCGCCAGTGTCCCCCAATTGCGGCACCTCGCGGGGCGGCTGGAACAACAGTCCCTGACATCAGAGGGGATGTGGTTTGCTGCAGTACATGCATGCCTGCTGATTCTGAGGCAGCCGATTTGCTTCCGCACTAACGACCTAGATTCGCCACGAAACTATTGCTGAAAGTATATCAGTGAGGTATAAAGATATATATCTTTGTAATATAGTACATATTGCTGCCGTCAGGAATATGTTTACCTCCCGGCGTTCTGCAACAAGGTGTCTTGAACACATCGACTCCAATGGCTTTATGCTGTGGACACAAAGCTCTCAAAGTGCTGCTAGAGCAATCTGACAATGTACACGTATGTGCGCCACTGCTATAGTTCCAGGACTTGTGGCACGGCGATTGCAGCAATCTAAAAGGGGCATGCGATGCGCAACAGCCAGTGATTTAATAATAGCATATTTTGGGCTGCCAAGCAACAAATGATGGATACGGCTTTGCTCGTGCCAAGAAGGAGCTGATAGCTACCTACTCGGCCTCGCGTGCAAGATATTTTCATGGCGATGACAGCAACGGGGCCTTTCTTAACACAGTGCAGCCATGTCGCGGTTATCGCCATCGTCGACTGCAGCTGCCCCACACGAAAATAGCCGCTGCGAAAGGATTGACACGGAGGCAGCTGTACCACTAGTGTACGCTCTGCTCTGCAATTTCCCCTTAATTTGAAAAAAAACATGATGGCCTACGGGGGACTGGATTGGAGCGATCGCGACTCAACAAGTATTGGGCTGGCACTGCCGGTTCACATTCTCGCATGTGCGCAATTCGACGTTCCGGCGCGCCGGTTTGACTTCTGTCCCGAAAGTCCATCCACCGTCTGCTGCCAGACAGAATCTCGGCTGCACACTGCCCGCTTCCACTGCGCCCGGCCCAAAACTTCTCAAACCACGGCGAGGAGAAGCAGCTGCGGCCGCGTTTCCGGAAAGTCATTCCTGACGCTGTCGCTGTTTGTTGGAGGGAAAGCAGCACAGGACATCTCCAAGGTTGGGAAATGGGAACTCCAACAGGCGCGAAAGTGGCCGCTCGTGTAGCGCTAGTGGAACCAGAACTACACCAACAAGCTTCCCCTTCGGTCTTCATCGAATTCTGCAACGGTGGTCTGTGCTCGAAAAGCTTTTCGAAAGACAAACCCTTGGGGTTGTTCAGGACACTGAACTGCATTCACCAAGCGTCAATGGTGATTGAGTGCGGCAGCCAACTACCGTCTATCTCTGCGCGATTGGTTTTGAAAATGACGGAAAGTTGCAGGTGCTTTACCGAGGCGCTTTTGAGACTTTCGAGCAGCTTCATTCCAACTTCTTTCGCAATGCGGCAATTGCAGAGAAGTTGCAGCCATGGAAGCAATTATGAAGAAGCGTCAGGCAGAGCATGACGAAGCCTACGAGCGTCAGTGGAACAACGGCCTGGGATCGCATCACGCGGATTACGACCCCGAGGCGACAGGTGACATCGGGGGCTGTCGACTTCAGCACACTTTTGATCCCATCAGATCAACGCGATCATTCAATAGTGAAAATAAATGAGCAGAAATTCTTATTCTACACAACGGAGTGCGGTGATGTGTTCCATGCCAGAATATTTAGCCTATCGCCCTTCTGCCACACATGAGCTCATCGAATTTTGAGCGCCAGAAAATGAGTTGATACCAGATCAGCATATTTGAAAAATACGTAGAATAAGTAATAATCGCTACTGAATCCATTTGATTTACGTTTTACATGTTCAGAAATCATTGCACAGTCCTGTGCAAGTGAATGCGGTCAATTTCTCTCCACATGAAGTACGACCTGCAGATTGCCAATGGACTTAACCGCGTGACACATTTCTATTTACGTCTATCTACACGCAAAAATGGTTTTTACATTTTTGCACGTAAATAGGCGTGAAAAATGGGGGAAAATGGGCCCGAATCTCTTTATAGATGGTACATTCCGACGTAAATAGTCCAGGGAGTGGTAGCTAGACGAGTTGAAATGTGCAGAAAATGACTTTTCTTCTCGAGGACGTCGTTTCCCTTGCCTAGGGCGAGGTGGAAGCTGCGTTGCCGGTGCTTGAGGGGCTAGAGAACACATCATTGTTTGGGACGGCATAATGTAATCTAGGCATGTTGGCGAGCCGTAAAAATGCGCATATATGGCTGCAACAATGGCCACTTCTCTATTTATGCGTTTTTGCCACGTAACATGCAAACGCAAAAGTTGAGCCCAAAAAACGCAGACACCAAGCCTGCCAATGGGGATATAAACGTGGTTATCGAATACGTGCAATGCAGTAAGCACGACTCGGTTGAATTCCCAGGGGAAGGCGTGGTAAAGGCAGATCGGGCGACGGAAGAGCTGTACGTAGCGATTGTCAAGAACGACATAAAGGTGTGTCTGCCTATGACACAATATGCTGTTGCATATAACACATTGCATTCCTGTGCACTGTTGCATTGAATAAGTTGAATATTTTATGGTCGGCGCTAATCGCACTGTAACAGGTACGTTAGAAAGCTCAAAAACACCAGTCTGCGCCCAAATCGGGCGGAGATTGAGCTCTTGATTGTGCCAAGAAAACAGCAAACTATTGCAGGGATACAATGAAAAGTATGCAATTTGTCCCTTATACGCCTTTTGCGTACTTCAAATAACATTTGCGTTTGCAAATTTCCGAGGATCCAAGTTATCTATCGAATGCTCAAGGGAGCTTGGGACATAGGCTCCGAAATATCTATATCGCGAAAGCACCTATGAGAAGAGTAGGTTCTCATACGGAAGATTTTTTGAATAATGCAAGAATATCCGAAGACATTGCCAACATGGAAAAAATCTGAAACGTGTAAAGTAAAACCCAATTTGAAATTCTGAAATCCTCTAAGCAATTCGTTCGAGTCGCAATTATTCAATGATTCCAGCAGTTGGAATCATCAGTTACTAATGAAAGAACGTCCAACAGAGGGTGTACGACAAGATTGACGAGGGCGCCGACGTCAACTTCATGTTCGGGGAGGCCTATCGCTGCCCGGAGGGCTACACGCCCCTCATGGCAGCCGCCCATCGCGGGCGCCTGGAGTGCTGTCGGGCCCTTTTGCGAGCGGGGGCCGACCCAAACCTCATTAACACAGGTACTTTCTGTCGGGTGGTTGCATTGACCGATTTCGCAATAGGATTCATAAAAGCTCATGCTTTTGAGGACTTTTTTCTGCCGAAGGGGTTGGCATGCACACATATTCATGAATATTTGCGATATCGTGCACAGTTCTTTCGACATTGTTTGACATTCGCGCCCAATCATGTCGAAATAAGCGTGCACGGTGTCCTTCCCTGCGCGAAAAGGCAGAGAGTGTTACCTGATATATATACACATGTGCAACATCTCCAGTATCACTTTTGCATTTTCGCAAGCGATGTCGGAAAAAGTAGCCAATGCGTCTACAATGCCTTGCAACAACACCACGGTGTTTCGGACTAAGCATATCATTAATGATGCTCCCCTGATGCGCAGCGAGAATGTTACAGCTGGCTACCTGTCGTGAGCTACCTTGGTCTCTAGAGTCGTTATTTCGCCCAATTCGATGCTATTCACTTCTCTAATTTGCTCTGAATGACTTGTGTTTCAGGTTTCGGTAAACAAAATCGATGGGTAGTTAAGATAAGCATTCCCTTCTCACTGTCTGAATACACCATATTTACGACGCTAATGCGATGCAATTTGGACACAAAGTGGTTCCATCACTGTGACAGCGATGGCATGAATATAGGCGGGATGCCATCAATTAATGTCAAGTGGCATCATAGTTGGCGTCGGAAACATGTCGTTATCTATTGGCGTCTGCTTCCATAGCGACGCGCACCATTTTGGATTGATTGGGACCAGGAGGCGACCTCCCCATCTTTTGGGCCATCGACGGGGGCATCGAAATCATCAAGCTGTTCGTCAACTACGGGGCCGACCTGAACGCCCGCACGCCCGACGGGTGGACGCCCCTGAGCTACGCGGTGGCGAAGGGCAAGTACGGCCCCGTGGAGGAGAAGGGCGTGTACCCAGAGGACGTGCTAAAGTACTACGGGGCGAGCGAGGTGGGCAGCGGGCCCGTGGCGCGCGGGGTCAGGAGCCCGAGGGAGAGCTACGACCCGGCTGCGGATGGGTTCCTTAGGGAGAGGGGGAACTACAAGGACCCCATACCCGCGCCGTGAAATATCTGAAGTATGCTTCAGATATAGGAGGAGGTGGATGGCGGACATTTTTTAAGAATCTACTTCAGATTCTTCAGATACGTATCTGAAGTATCTAAAATAACTGAAATGTCCGATTCAGCTTCTACTGGTACAAGTGGTGATTTGTGGTCCGAGGGAAGTCCTGTGTATGAGGGCTTGTTCTTGATGGGATGAGAGCATCTTGAAGCATAGGAATTGAACGTGCTGTATGCGGGGACCAACGAAGCTGCCAAGGGAAAGGGGGCAGTCTAGGGCAGTAGAATCTCGCGGCGCTTTGTGGCTTCCATTGGCGTCTCCTGGCCCAGACCCGCTCCATTGGACTTGATCATCCTGAATTGCAAGGCAGTACATTGTCAAGTTTTGGCGATGCTTATACAGGAGCGATCACTCGCAGATCATTCATGACCCCACCCAAAGAAATTTGATGGCAATTGCCAACGCCCATACTGCATTGCAATGGCCGGCGCATCAACAGCTTGCCCTTTTTGATCATATATCATTGAAGGAGCTGCTATGATGGAGAACTGCACATTTAGACGCTGGGCGCATACACGTGTCGGAACCGGTATCGGTGGTCACCGGTGACGTTATGGGTGTGCCAATATACCTGCGAGGACTACTCAATGTCATTCGGTTCCAAACCCGACTTGGAATATCTTCTTTTAAGCCACAACGCTCTCCACATGCGACCAATCTCCCATCCTCACGCTGGACAAGCTGTTGCCATCACTCGCTGTGTCGAGCCATACCAGCGCCACCAAAGGGTCTAACCCATTGGTTGCATTGATATCGGCGCAGAGAGCTCAGTCGCTGTGTTATCACACTCATGGGAGAGAAGCTGTAAATTTACAGCATATCTTCGACGAGTATGGCAACACAACGGCTGAGTGTTCTGCGCCGATGGTAGCAGCTGTTTTTCGTAACGCTCGTATATTGACATGAAGTGGGAAATATGATGTCTTGCTACTAAGAAGATGTATGGTAAGTGAGTACTCCCAGTAAGTAGGTACTGCGTCTGTTTTGGTGCGCTCAACGTCAAATTCGAGGCTTGTCCGATATCCATCATTTCCAGTTATGGCGGCAACAAGGGGTTATGGAGCTCATAGAGCACGAATTATTGTCGGCTCGCAGCGGGCTGGTCAACGCGGGCTAGTTCGCCGTCACGCCAGTGGAACGCGCCCCCTATTGATATGACCTACTTGATGGTGTTTGAGGTCCCAAGCCCCAAGCCCCAAGCTGGAGGCGACTTTCAATCATCGAAGGGAGTACCCACCGGTTTAAGGGCAAATGTCTTGATCAATTCACTAATTAAAAACAGGCCAAAATAAACGGTTTTGAAAATCGTTTACTGTGTAAACTACTGAAAATCCTGTAAAACTTGTGTTAAATTGTGTATTTATATCATAAAATAGAACCAAACCGTGTAATACCGATTGAGGGAGTGCACATGAATTTTGGACGTTTTGAAAAGTTGTTGCGCGATTCTTGCGCGGTTCGAAACCATGTATTTTGGCCGATTTCTTACTTGTGACGTCAGGTCGAATTTGCCCACGTCTTCCCTCGTTTGCCCTCTTCAACAGCCACGCCCCCTTCACCATCATCAGTCATTTTTACATAGCAAGGCCAGGGGGCGGCCGTCAGCTGCTTATTTTGCCTGAGCAAAGCAGCGCCCATGATCAGTTCATGGAAATCTAATGAATGACATAAAACAATCCAGAAATCCATCAACTGTGTTACCAAAAGCAACGTTGGTCGAGGGCCAGTGTGCATGTACCGTGTAGCATCCTTGGGGCATATAATTAACTATCCTGTTAATGAGTTTCTGCCTAGGACGACGATGGGTGGGCGCGGATCGGCCAGTCTGGGCCGTTCCGTGACTTTGGCCAGTTTGGGGGCCATCACTAGGCTGGTTTCTGTCACCCCTGTACTCGGGGTCAGTTCTGCCCGGCGGATCCAAGGGCAGTTGGGTTGAGCCTTGTACCTTGGACGCAGCCAAGGGGACCGGTCAAGCTGGCCCTTGGGTTTGGCGGGGAGTTTGGCGGCAAGTGGGAGCGGCTATTTAGGCGCGACCCTTGGCGCCCCCCTTTATCTTGTTTCGCACCCGCCCGGCCCACCCTAATAGAGTGAGTTCGGTTAGCTGTGGGATGGAGAGGGAGTTGAGTACGAGGAAAGGGGAGCTGATTCTGGGTTGAGTCACCATCAGAGTGGCATTGAGTACTATGCGAAGCGAGGGCACGTTCAAGTGGGTCGCCTATCGGGTCTTGTTTTAGTAAGGTGAAGGACACCAAACTGTGTGCATGTAATGTATTGTCGTGTGGGGAACACGGGGGGGGTTGAAGGAGACCGGTAAGGCAGAAATGGAAAGAACTGTCCTCTGCACACCCACTTCCCACGCGCGAGACCCAGCAGTGTCAGCCGCCCGCCCTCTCGACGCTCGATGGCACCGCTGGCCGTCGGCGCCGGGTCGGCTCCTCGAGCCGCTCAGTTCCGGCCCTGCATCGACATCCACAAGGTGCGGTTGATGCTGTGACACCCATCGCGCGCCACGGGGACACACAGCGTCGCCGAAGGATTCTTCACGCGCCCATGTCTGCCGCGGAACAGGGCAAGGTGAAGCAGATTGTTGGGTCCACGTTGAGAGATCTGGATGTGGAGAGGAGGTGAGGAGGAGAACTCTGCTGCAATGAGCTGCAAAGCTACAAATCTCTCAAGCGTCCTCTTGCGAGTGCACGCGACCGGACGAACAATTGGAACAGCGCTTGTGGGTGTCTTTGAACCGGTCGTCGCCTGCAAGGGGTGGGTGCCGGCCGTGTTTTGTCACGTGTGGGCAAGTGGATTCAATGGCGTTCGCTTTTGCCGATCGCCAATCATGTTGTGTTTGGTTGCGGATGATTGGGTGGGTGGTGCCTGCCGCTGTTTTCTTATTTAACCATGTAAACATTTGCCGCAAGCGCAAGTATGCCTGCTTTGAGCAGCTGCAACACGTCCACAGCGTAGAATCTCTCATCACCTGTTTGGGGCTGACAGATGGAGCCCAGAGCTTAAGGGTGGGAGAGTGGCTGCGATGATAGACCGCTCCATGTGGGTGAATCTTGCTTGACAGAAAGAACCTATCATCAGATCCCTCTACCAATACGTCATCGCTGCTGGGTGCACTTACCCATCACATAGTGTTTGAGCCAGCATGCATGGAGTGGATCCACTGACACTCAGATCACCTCCTGGGGGCTGAGCATGTGAGGATACACATACGTCGTTAGATCACCTCCTGGGGGCTGAGCATGTGAGGAAACGCATACGTCGTTGACGTTTGTGCTCTGAAAGTACTCAGGTATTCTGTTGCATGGAGACCATCCTGGTAGCGCAGCACCAATTTGTGCACACCATGTCAAGATTGTGTTCATTACAGTCAAGCGAGGTGGTAATCCCACTTTTCCTCCACACTCTGGGAGGGAGATATAGCGGGCACCCCTGTGCACACCATGTGCATAGCCAACAACAAAGCCACCACAAATTTCCCATCTGGAAGGAGAAGTTGAGGTGGTTTGTGTGGTGTTCTGTGCACCAGGAAATCTGGGGAGAATTTAGTCACAAATTTTGTGTCCGAGAATCCGCCATCTTGGTTTTCGGATCTTTATCACCAGGATGGCCTCACAGGTGGTCACGTCATCATGCTTGGGCCTGATGAGGAGAATAGGTAGGATCAAAAGTTTCAAGGCCTGATGTCTTGCCCAACAATATGTCCCATTGCTGAGCCAGCTATGGCGGCAACCAGTTTTTGGGACTGCCAAAATGTAGCAAAACACTCTACATGTTCTTTGGAGTTGCCAGGATTGTAACTGCGTTACTGTGGTTTACATTACTGCAACGGGCCTGGGTACTAGCTGCCAGAGCAAGTGACCTGGTATCCTTTTGAATAGTGACACAGAGTTCTCAATCAAATTCAGGTGTGCTGGCATCGCCCTGCCATCCCAATATTCTCTGTAACGCATCACTGCCTGCATTTAAGTTTGGCGCTTGTCAAATGGCGTTTTGCATTGACAGAAAAGTAAATACACTGAGCAGATTGTTGCTGTCCCATGGATGCATCTTTGCTGCAATCGATGCAATTTTTGAGCTCTTGAAAACGATGCAATTTGGGGTGCAACCAAGCTCTATTCAACAACATCTCTTGTTCAGCAAATGTGGCAGGCTTGTCAGCAACCTGATGCCGCAACCTGGGTCACGAACAGTAATGTGTGAAATCTCGATGTCATACACATAGCGTCCTATGCTATTGGAGTTGAAATGAACGTTGTACATCGGGTGGCCCCTGGGACAGTGCATCCACCACCTCGTTGAGCTGCATAACAATTAACCCTTGAATTCACCAGAAAAAATTGTGACGTGGTGAAAATGTGTCTTGTTAAAACGGGGGAGGCACATAGAAACATGAATACTATGCAATACCTATCAACAAACGGCTTCCGATGTACCCAATAGTTGCAAGGGCAGTGGGTGACTTGTCACACTCATGACAAATGGAACCAATGTAAAATGTGCCCATTGACGGGCATGTTCACCGTGGTTCTGAAGGTCGGCTGCCTGCTCTGCTCTATCTGCGTGGCCCGGCGGCCTGCAGGTTGGAGGCGGCATCACCACAGAGTTGGCCCCAGCATTCCTGGATGCGGGTGCCTCACACGTCATTGTGACGTCATACGTCTTTCGAGATGGAAGGTTAGACAAACAGCGGCTGCGACAACTGGTGTGTGCGTTTGGCTTGGTGACAAGGGGATGGTATGCAAGATATCAATAGCAGTGAATTGGGGCCAAGCACACAGAATTTGTGAAGTGTTAATGGACACTGTCCCAGAATTTGCGACGTGTGGATAGATCGGTCCCTTATGTCCCCAGCTTCCATCCCATGTATGTTAAGGTATTCATCGACTGCATTTGCTAGCATTGGCAATGTGAGCCCAGGCACCCGTGAGGCGAATAAGGATAATTCTGGAATCCCCAATCAACTCCTTGTATGCACGGAAATTGCAGCCCGTGCCACCTTCAGTTGAAGTGAGTCAGGGGGTTATTCATGAAATTTGCATGGGTCACGTAGCCACTGGCTATTCTGAATAGCACTTGCACTGAATCAGTACACTGGTAAAAAAAGGGCTAATAAAACAACCTCACAATGTGGTGCCATTGTCATTTGTGGCACATGACCAGTACCCAATTCTCGAACGTCCAGAACATTGCAAACAGGGATCGCACACGCTTGAAGTATTGAATATTGGACCTCCTGCACTGTGTTTGAATATTCTCATGTACCCTCAACTTTCCTCGAATCTCCTCGGGTATCCTTGATGCGTTGACCTTGTGATCGGCATTAGGCTGGCAAATGATATACCACTGTTGTGCGCACAGGTTGACTGCGTGGGCCGTGAGCGTATTGTGCTAGATTTGAGCTGTCGCTTTCGGGATGGCAACTATTGGGTGGTCACGGACAGGTGGGCAAGAACGAAAGTTGGGGAGCAAATGTTTCTGTGTTTTCCTTTGCTCTCAAAGGACTAATGATACAAAATATGATATATGCCTCAAGTAACACATAAATGCAGTCAATACACTCGCGGCTGTGAGCAGTGCCCGACCTATCCCGTGATAGGCGACAGATCAGTGTTCGCCATGCTCGGGTACTGCCAAAGCATGGCATACTCATCCAGGGCATGAGTTCGTTGCAAATTTGCGAGCAGGTGGCAGCGGTTCAGCGAGCTCGCAGTGACAGGGGACGTGCTGGAGGACCTGTCTGCCAGCTGCTCCGAGTTTTTGGTCCACGGTGTGGATGTGGAAGGCAAGCAATGCGGTGTGGATGAGCAGCTTGTGGGCCTGCTGGCGGAATGTTGCCCTCTGCCGGTCACCTATGCGGGAGGCGTCAGAGACATGGTGAGTCCTGTCGGGGTGCGCATGTGCCCTCTCGCAACAGCCCAACTGCTTAAGGTTTGCCGAACATGGCGGGAAAAGAACGGCTTTCCTGAAGCGGTTGACGGACAGCGAGGCGCACGTCGCCAAGAATACGTACAAGTGTGTATGTCCTGGAAAACATTCCGTGCTCTAGCCCATTTCCTGGGCATCGAAAGATGCGTTGCTGGGGATGCAGTACGATATCATATCTAGGATGATTCTGGATATGACAGGCGCATATCCAGGACGTGGGATGAAAAGTCACCATGCCTTGGATATTGAGTATCGTCGGCCACGTTCTATGATATGCACGATATGGGCGAGAATGCGGAACTTTCTCCAACGCAGGACAGTGCATCAGACCTGTCACGCGACCAGGGCCACACATTTGCCGCACCTTGGAGGTCGAATTCTGACACATTTGTTGACAATCACCTGATCGCATTTTGCCATAGGCGACGACCCCAGGCCTGTGCACAATGAAGGCGTTGGCGTGCCTTATTCTGAGGGTGAAAGAGTTTCCCCATAGCTGCAGTACAGCGGCTGCAATCCATTCGACGCCAAGATGTTGATGTTGGCATTTGCATCGCATTTGAAAACTGTCAGTGCAACATGGTGCAACGCGCCGGGCTCAGTGACTGCTACTCACCGAAGGGGAACCTGTGATTCGGCGAGTGGTGCAGTTATCCAAAAACCGAGAAGGAATAACCAGGCCAAATCAAGGGAATGATGAGAGAATGGTGCGGCAACTTGTGTGAATAAACTGGGCTTCCTATTTTGCCCCAGCGAAGCAGCGTCTATGATTACCTTATTGAACTGGAATCTAATGTAAACACAAACAAAGCCTATGAACTCCTTAACTCCTAATGCCAAGGAGCGATTGTCGGCGATAACAAATCAATAAGAAGTGTCCTCGCCAGTTGGCGTGCAGGAACCGAAGCAGAAAGTGATTTGGCATTGCGAAATCCAAAAAGACAAGAGTGGCTTCGACGGACGTTATCATAGGCCTGGCAGCGGAAATGTATCTCGCCTTCTGGAGCCAAATGACATAAAGGACACAATCGCCTTGAACAGTCTGGAGTTTATTGTCGTGGCTGGTGTCGTTGCTGCTCCACCTCCAGAAAGTGAACCCTACAACCTCAGTGCCTTGTTCCGTAAAAAGCGATGACGATGAACAAAGCACAGCGGCATGCCAAAGTTGACTTACGGGGACAATTGATGGAAAATGTCCAGATGGAGCCGACAGAACTTCCTTTACTCTGGAAATGTCGCATGTAAGGGGGAAAAAGGAGCTGACAGTGTTTCGGTGAACAGCAGCGGCGCAAGATATGCTGCCAGATGCAGCTTCAATTTTCCCAGTGCATTATTGCCAACTGATGAGTCGAACACATGTGCTGCAATCGCAGGACGATCTTGACCTAGTCAAGCACGCTGGGCGAGGGCGTGTAGATGTGACAGTTGGCAGCGCTCTCGACATTTTTGGCGGATCACTTAGGTATGCGGACGTGGTGAGGTGGCACAATGAGAGCCAAAGGGAGGCTGCTGTGCCGCAGCAATCTTGAGAATGGAGAGACAGCGAATTTGTTCAGTGCATGACGCATTTGGTGGAACGACGCTGTCGGCCTTGCGATTTTGTGCTTCGCGACCCTCGCCAAGTACCGTGGCTAGGGTGGATCAGGTAATGTCCACAGGGAAAAGAAGAAAAATGTTGCAGGAGTTGTGTTGAATTCCTTTTGAGTTCAGCTGTACTTGCGGTTGGTGTTGGGTGCAAGAGCAATCCGTGAAGCAGTGTTCCATCCCTTTTGGAGTTCTTTGAGTGTGCAAACAATGCTTTTCACCAGATTGCATGCTGCAAGGAAACGCGCAAGTGTAGACATGTGACTACAATTTTTTAAACGGACGAAATGAGCCCAGGCGTCTTCTAGTAGATTGGGGCCCGCTGAAGCTCAAAATATGTGAAGGCATTGAGTTTTCCAACACGCACTGGCTGCACACATCGGCCTCACGCCGACCACCCACAACGCGATGTCCATCCGCCTGCGAGCGCTTTGAAGAGGGTGCCATGAGCACAGACATGCAATGGAACTCACCAAGATGTCAGACGGGCTTCCGCGCTATAGACACTGTACGTCACTTGCACATCTGTGAGCGCTGCGGTAGGGCAACGCAGCCAAGGCAGCCCAGTGTCCAAGGATCGACCCTTGGACATTGGAGCCTGAACTTTTAGGTGTGTCACCATTGATTCTTGTGGTGGTGGTGGTGGTGGGTAGGGGGTGGGGTGGGGGGTGGGGGGGTGATGGAAGGCCATATGATGCTAAGAAATAGTGCAATTGCCTTGAAGGTATATGTCGATTGATAATCGGCATGATGCTGAGAAGAGGCCCAAACCGTTCCTGACCTGTTCGGAAACCTCCGTCGAGCAGTCAAGGGTCCCCTTATTATTCCGATAGACAGCCTCCAGTACTGTCCTCATCTCCTGTAATCTCTTCTAGTGGTCATTCCATACTTGTCAGCGCCGGGTCAGCGCATCGTCGAATGGCAGCAGTTGGTGCAAGGGCACTTGGCGACATGCGTCTCCACCGGCCTATGGTTGCAGTCAATCAGCCACTGACTACGCTGGCGCTATAGCCTCGCCAAGGTAGCTGGCCTTTTACGACATGTGCTGCTCGTGGACGTTTCGCACACAGAGATGTGGCCCGCAGACGAAGCAAAAGACTTTGGCGTGAACTACAACATCCAAAAGCAAGGTTTTCGCGCATGAAACACACTACAGGGCTTGAATAAATTGTTCGTCAGCTCCATCTACGGCACCTTGCCGGGACACACCACACCCGGCCTATTGTACTCGACAACACATACACGCACAGACGTCGTCCTCCCTAACCTAACTCCCACGCTTGAATGCACAGATTGGGGGCAGCCCGCCACCCGCCCAGCACCACGGCGCCCCACGTGAGGGGCCTTATTGATTGCTGCATATGGAGAGGCCTGGCGGCTCTTGCATCGACGGGCTAAACTACACACGCAAGGGCGCGCCTGAAGAAGCGGCCGTGGCCCCAACCACCGACACGGCACCCACTGCGGCACGGTTCCAACAATAAAATCAATCATGTCATCCCTGCCTCCCTCCCCACCGTCCTGCTGCCCTTCTTCGCCCACACCTCCTGCCACCATCCCGCGCCACGCCCATTCGCCGGCCGACCCGCAGGGCCTCCTGCTTCTCCCAAGTTTCTCCCCTCCTTCCGTCCCATTTCCGCCCACCTCTGCTGACGGGCCCGTCGGGCGCCCGCCGCGTCGGCACCAGTCCACCGCGCCGCAAACACCGCCTTCGCCCGCTATCCTCCCCTTCAAATTGAATTCAAATTGAGTCCAGTCCCGCGATCGATTCCAGACTGACCTTAAGTTCTCCAGCGGCTTCGTTTTCAGAGAATACGATCCCAATTCTCCCAACCGAATTCATACCCAGCCTGGCTCCTGCCTCCTCCAAGCGAGCTCAAACTGAGCCCGACTCTTGCCTCCTCCAAATGCGTTCAGATTGAACCCGACTCTTGCCTCCCTCCCGCTGACGTCGGTTCGCCCTCCCCTTCATCCTGGGCCAAGTCCCAGTCGTCGTGTGTGGGCACCACCGTGAAGTACTTCCGGATCTCCTCCACAAAGCGGGTGCGGTACGCGTTCGGGCTGATGATGGTCGGCTCGCTGCCGCCCTCGCCCAGTATGCCACTGGACTTTATGATGGTTTCGATCTTCTTGTCCAGTGTGTACTCCCGCACGAAGTCGATGATGCCCACCACGATCTTGGTGCGCTCCTTGTCCAGGCCCAAGATGAGGGAGTAGTCCATAATGGCCAAGTCGGCCAGGAACTTGCTGTCGCGCTTCAGCGCCTCGGACAGGCGCTCCAGGTTGCGGTGGTCCACCAGGAGTGGGGGCGCCTGAGCAAATAGAGGAACACAAAGAAAGAATTCAGTGATGAATCCGTAAATGAATTCAGTGCGAATTCTGTACATCACCATCATCATCATCAAAATCCATCAATTAGATTTGTCACACGATGACCAAACACAGCCCGTGCACTTGATGGACGATGATGAGCGAGAACACCAAGCAGAGGGTCTACTTAGAATCGCTTATTCATGGTCCCAAAATTCTGTACATGAATTCAGCAAGTGATTTCAGAGGCTCCCACATAGATTTAATTGGGGTTCTGAGTGTCAACTGCCAGTGGACGCTGTGCACCACTTGCGAAGGCAATCGAGGTAGCAGCATCGAAACATCAACGGCCTCTGTGTTTTGTGGACGACACTGGCGACTTCCAGAAACGTGTTCAGCAAACGGATGGGCCAGCCAGTGGAAGGGTCTGGTCAAGGTATCTTCCAGGTTATGGACGTTCACCCCTTTTGTGGCCCTTCGTCAGCACACCGAGTAGACAGGCCTTTTTGGACATTCACGAGCATTCTGGAAATCCGAGTTGGGTCAAAGCTGCCCGGCATCGCCCTTGTAATTTGCGGTGGACCTCCTACTGCCTATCTGACAAACGAATCAACGAACTCAGCCTGCCTACACACATCACCATAATTGTCCGTTTCAAGAAACTGGGATCCATCCGCAAAAGGGAGGGTTGGCGATGAGAACGGGCTGAGAAGTGCGAAATGACAGCAGATACAAAGGCAACCCCCAAGGCCAAACCCCCTGCACACATGCAGCTTTCCCCGCAATTCGAAACTCCAGGAAGGCAATTGGAGGGAAGAGGGGGAGCAAAAACAAATCAAAGACAAAGGGGAAAAGAAAGCAAGAAAAGAGGAAAGAGCCCCTCCCCCCACGAAAACAGACACTGAGAGGGGCTCGAACGAAACCTGGAGGTTGTGCCGCCGAAGGTTATTGTCCAGGAAGACGGCCTCCTCGCCCTTGGCATGGCTGCGCTCGGCGTCAGGGTTGTCCCGCCCGCGCTTGGAGCCCTTCAGGTCGTACTTTTTGATACAGGTGCAGTTGTAGAACACGTTCTCCATGATGAGCACCGTGCGTTCCCAGTCTTCCGTTCTCGACTTCAGGGACACCTACAACACGTGAAATTCTTCTTTCGTCACTAGTTGCCAGTGGTCAGCAATGTTTATCAACGTACTACATTAAACGTGCAATAAATCAACATCCAATATCACTATCAGTTATTACTATAATCTCAATATTACTATCAATTACATTAATCTCAATACTAATATCAATTATTCATTCGTTCGTTCATTCACTCAAGTATTCTTTTGTTCAGCTGTTCATGCACCACAACTGTCCATTGTTTGCATCGCTCACCGCATGCACCAAACGGCCCCAAACCATGATCATCAGCCCATGCCCGATCCCTCTCCGCGGCAAGCTGCAGACTGAAAGCTTTAGTCAACGACGACTTGAAGATAATCAACACGGTTTCAGGAACAGGAATAGCAATTGTGGGAAGTCAGCCCTTTCCCAGTCGTGCACGGTTATGCTTGTTCTGTCGTCATGTGGATGCGTCATTTGAGGAAACGACCAACCTGAAATACGCCCAAGATCTTGGCGAGGCAGATCTCCCGCTGCCCATCAATCGCGTCATCTATGTACTTCAGGTAGTTTGGCGCCAGGTGCTTCAAGAAGGAGTCACGCTCCGTTGTGGACATCCCCTTGATGACGTAACGCTCGTCCATGGTGCGTCCGAAGTAGGCCTTCGTCTTGCCGCCTCGTGCCTTCCACCTGCACACAGCATGTCACATTCCATCACACTCTATTCTATTCTATTCTACTCTATTCTATTCTATTCTATTCTATTCTATTCTATTCTATTCTATTCTATTCTATTCTATTCTATTCTATTCTATTCTATTCTAATCTATTCTATTCTATTCCATTCCATTCCATTCTATTCCATTCCATTCTATTCCGTTCCATTCAATCCAATTCTGTTTTCTAAGCCGTACTGTTATCACAATGTCAGAATCCGTGACACGTTCGTCATGCACACATGAAATACTGCTGTCGTGCACTCATCACAGTACATTAGAATTTTGAAAACCGTCACATTGTGACGTTACTGCGCAGCAGCATTGCTCCACAACTTTGCCCCAGAGAATAATCAACTGTTTGTGACACAATACGTCCTTCCGCTGCATCCAATCTCCGAACATCGCAGCAGCAGTTGACAGCCCGTCTCCCAGGGGCTGACAGGGGAGTCCGCAACAAGTCCACATGGCCTCTTCTAAAGACTAGGGGAAATCCCCATTCCACACACACAACCCATCCCACCCCACACCCTGCTTGCCACCTTTGTCATAATATGAACAGAATATGAATATATGTGATAATATGAATACTACTATATATTGGATGATATACTATAGAATGTCCTTCTAGCCCCCTTCGTCAAGGGAATCGCCCCCACCGATAGCAAAAGCACCATGCAGGCAGCAGCTACCTGCAGCCTTACCCTGCTCGCACGCATCACTCTCAGGCTGCCCCTTGGGCTGATGAACATCAGCACCCCAAGCACAGCGCCACCATTCGGATCAAACTCAACACGCACTGACCTGTTGAAACACGATCCTTCGGATTGACATCTAATTTATCAGCTCGTCCTCATTAATTACCAGTTAATTGCTAGTTAATTACGTAGTTCACTATTTATTGATTGATTAATTAGTTAGCTAGTTATTTGATGAATTGATTTGCTAATCAATTCATTACTTTTCCTACGAAGTAACCAACTATTCAACTAATTATTTGATCAGTTAGTGTTACTTGACGGTTGTTGAGACCGTGCAGGAAATGGCAACCGTTCGGCGGTCCCACTCACAGTTTGCATCTGGAGAGGCTCATGATGAACGACTTCTCGCCCCCTGGGATGCACCTGCTCCGCAGCTTCGCGAACTGCGGCGCAAAGTACGCGACCACCTCGAACTTGGCCTTGCTCAGCGGCATCATCTCGAGGGCGTCGTCCTCGAAGCGCTGGCTGATGTGCGCGGGGTGCCAGTAGGCGCCATCGGTGCTGGGCACGGGCAGCACGCCCTGTGGCACCTCGCCACTGCTGGGCTTGCCGTCCCAGCTGCACCGCCGGTCATGTGCCATGCCATCGGGGCCGGCTTCTGCGGCACCATGTAGTGCCTGCATCGCCGCGACTTCCTGGCACAGCGTGAACTTGCACTGTTGACATCTGTTCTTTGTGAGCACTGGACAGCACTGTTGAAATCACATCTTGCAGCAAACGGCATGCAGTTAAGAAATAAGAAGATTAACGAATCCAAGGTGCTGATCTTTCGCTGTGCCTGTACCTTCAGGCTGCGCCAGACCACGTTCATAGCCATGGTGATTCTCGACTTTTGATGCGTTTTAAACTCAACATATTGGATGAAATGACAAGAAGAAAACGCGTGCTTGCCCCTCTCTGGGGATGGAACCTTGCCGGTCAACGACTTCCACGGTGCAAAGATACATTTACTTGCAATAACAATTCCAAAACAAGGCCAATAACAGCATTATTCATTTTTCATTTAAGGTTCATTTATCATTCAAGTTTGTCATCAACATTCTACCATAAATACAACAGGCAAGGAAGCACAGGACAGATTGCCGGAGACAGGCGCCGTCGCCTTCACATTCCGCCCCACAGCGTTGTACTGTGTTGTATTAACCCCACATCAATAAATTCTATCGTTGCGTTTTTGCTCCGCATGTTTTTTCAGAGCGTTCTTTATTCTTTGATTGTTGCTCCGCAAAAAGTCCATATAATCTTGCTCCGCGAAAAAGGCCAAGCGTTACGTCGCTGTGTGGAAGGGTTTCAAAAAAAAAAACACGGACCCAGAGGTCCCCGGGGCCCACCTGTTGCATCTTCTTCTGGAAGGATATGGACGCCAGCACGTGCGCGATGATGCTCCCGGGCTCGTCGTCGAACACTGGGATGACCACCTCGTCCCCGCCCGACGTGCACTGGCCCGCCGTGATCAGCGACCTGCCGCTCAGGAACACCTGACCCACCGTCAACGGCACCATCCCGGGCTCGGACGCCCTCGCCGTCCGCGGCGTCTTGGACAGGAAACTGTTCGATGCCTGGGTCGCGATCTCCGCCGGCTGGGGTTGGTCGCCGGCGCCCTTGCCCCCATCCACAACCTCGCTGCCCACGTCCGTCAGTCCCGAGTATCCAGACACCAGCCTCCTCGTCAACTGATGCACGAGCGGCTCCTCCCTAGGCGAGAATGGATCCGAGGAGCAGCGTCTGTGGGACGCCCCCCCCTCTCCGCAGTCTCCCAGGTCCGCCGAGGAGGACTCCACAAGCGCCTCCCCGCCCCTGAACTTCTCCGACTCCGAGCCGTAGATGTCGATCAGGTTGCTGGCGCTGGAGTTGCGCACCATCAGCTTGCGGGCCCCGTCCTCCCCGACGGGCACGGCCGAGGCCCGGCGCAGAACACCGCCCGATCCAAGGTGGTCGATCTGCCCCGAGTCGTCGAAAGATTCGTTCAGTTCCACGGCCGCCTCCCCCCTCCTGGCCGCCCGGCAGTCGCCCCCGTCCGGGGAGAAGGGCCGGATGAGGTATGGCGGCGCGGCGAAGGGCGACCGCAGCGGCACCCACCCCCCTTCCTCCTCCCCCATCTCCGAGATCTCGCTGCCGATCGTCAGGTCGCTCGTGCTGCCGCCGCCCCCCGCGGGGCTGCCCAGCCTGTGGGACCTCACGACCGAGTCCGCGTCCGGCGTGGACGTGCGGATGGACCCCTCCCCGTCCGCCGCGTCTCCGCTGCAGCGGGGTTCGATCGCCTCCCTGGCGCCGTCGTCGTTGTAGGCTGAATCCTGGCATCTGCGCTCCATGTCACTCGCGCTGTCGCCATGCGGGGCCACATATTCATCGGGTGCGCTCCTCTGCAGCGCGGGTGACAGGTCAGGATCCGGGTCGCCGGCCTTGGCGGCGGCGGTGGGCGGGTTTTGGGTGGGGTCGGACATGAACTTGGCCCAGGCCAGGACGTTGACGGCCAAGTCCTTGCGCAGGCCGTTGAGCTCCAGGGCGCAGTCCAGCAGGACCTCGTCGAAGTTAAAGAAGTTGGAGCGCACGCCGATGCGGCCTGGAGGGACAGGACAGGGGGGAGGGGTGTCAGGTCAGAGGGAACGGGAAGCGCTAGGAGATGTTCTGCCCTGAGGATGTCGAGCTGGCCTGGGTCGAACGGGTCCATGATTTGCGCGGGATCGCGCGGGGTGGGTGGGAAGGGGCTCATCCGAGCGAAACTGGGCGGGGTTGCGCTCAACCGCGCCGCAAGCGAGCCATCCAGAGCCATCGGAGCGCGCTGGGAGAAACGCGACTGCCCCCGTGGCGCTGCCCTGCGCATGCCGTGGCTTCTACTCCGAAACAGGTATTGGCTGGAGCAGCGGAGCGAACAAGCTCCGTTCTGAAGGGCACTTTGGTGACGCAATCATTAACCCACACATTGGTGGGGTGGGCGGGTGGGTGGGCACGTCCATTCCCAGCTAACTGCATCTTATCTACTGAAGGTACAGGACTGCTCTCTCAAGGCACAGGGTTGCAAGAGATGTTGGTGACCCCAACATGAACACAATTCAGTGTTCCAGAAATCCTATGTGTTTGCAACAAGCGTCGTCAACAGATCGAACTGCACTTTTGCCCAATTCGGCATGCCTGCCAAATCAGCTGTTCACCAGGTTGCACAGCGAACAGCAAGCAGCAGCCTCTGCCCCTACGCCACAGCGGCCTGTATGCTGACATACAATGCAAAGAACACCCAGAGGCGTGTTGACAACTGTCCCATGTGTAATAAATTTCGCACTGATGTCACTCGTCTTGCTCACATCCCTTTTTGTTCAGTTCAAAGTATTCTCTATGGGGAGGTGAAGAGGTATCTGGCCAACGTGCCGCTGCCATGCCTTGCCACTGTATTTTCCTTCCTTCGATCATGTCAACAGAAGCAATTGGCTGCATATCAGGTGACTCACCCTTCCTTGCTTGCCGTATAATCCGCTCCAGCTTGTCAGTGAACTCGGTGTGCTCCTGGTGTATGTCCCTCACCAGTGTCTTGTGTACGTAGCTCTCTCGGGATGCGTGCCCATCTCCTGCCCGCTCCTGCGACACCTGCAGAGCATGCTCGACCGCAGTGTACGCCTCGTTCGCTTCCTGCAGACAGCAGGCCACAAGCATGTCAACAACAAGAACAACAGAAATTGATATAGTTGAAGCACTACTACTGGAACAACCACTTGCAGCTGCAATCAGTGCTACCCATTGAGCCAGATGTTCCTTGGATCCTATCGTTCTTCACGCATTGAACATTGGACACCCACTGCATCTTTCGCAATTGGCAACGCCTCCAAGCTGCAACTGTTTTGTTTGCAATAGCATACTGGAAGTCCTCATCCATGGAATTTCACATCCACCACAATCTGGCAGGTGCAAGTGCAGTGCGTTTGCCACAGTCTGACAATCCAAGAGTTTGACACCATCAACGCACGTGTGCACACCTGCATGAGCTCGTTGGCACTCTCCATCATCCACAGCAACTGATTGTTGTTGCAGTAGCTCAATTCCTGTGGGGGAATGAGCACTTCATATGGCTGAAATCGGTCCTGATACACGCACGCCACTGTGCGCCCGTAGCCAAAGTACCGCACAAACTCCAGGTGCAGCTGCCTGTCAAAGGCCTGCAGAAAATTGGAGTTGCACGACAGGTCCAGGAACTGCCCGAAGGACAATCGCATGGCATCGGGAGACAGAGGTATGCGGCGGACTGAGCCCAGTGGGCACTTGCCCAGGCCCTTGGGCCGCGCCCAGAACCACAGCTGCCCGGGACCCTGCAGCTCCTTGTCGGGAGGCAGGGAGACGACAGACATTGTGATGCGCATTCCGCCGTGCAGGAAGGTCCTCACGTGTGAGGAGTTGCCTCCATGGCAGTCTTGCTGGCAGCACAGAACGCAAGTATTCAAAAGGTCAGGACCGCCATGTGATGGCAAACGAACACCATGGCGTGAATCTGCAGAGCGTGCTGCTGCATAGTGTGCAACTGCTTGAAACGCTAGGATACTACCCAGCAGTGTCTCTACCTTGAAGGCCACTATTGATCGCAGCTGTCAACTGTGGCAAGTCGGCAAAATACGTGAAAACCTGTCAAGGCAACGCAACAAAACCGTCCTTGATCTATTGGCAGTGTTGGGCAAACAGTGTTCTGCTCAGCAGGAACATGACCCTTTTCTGTTCCTGCTGTCGATTCGAGGATATAACATCACATTTTAGAGGCACCTGACTTCTTAATGTGACATACTGCTTTAGAACCAAAAACTGCCAGTGACCCTTCAAGCATGCTGTCAACAGTAGTTGCTATAGTATCTGGTTCCACCACCCCTTCCATAGCCTTCACGCTGCCATACTGTATTCACAGTGCCATCGTTCATGGCAGAAGAAGGTAGAAAGCAAAGAGGAGCAACTGCTCCATTCTGACAAGTTGAGATTCCCTATTTGATTCCATATGTATGATGCCAAAACAGCACAAAGGAACTGCACACAATCACAGCAACTGAAAGCCAAAGAGCCACAGCTCTTCAACAGAAAGGTGCCAAGGGGAAAGTGTCCACCCACGTGCAAACAACGCCTCTCAGAGTCCGCCGCGATGGACATCAGAAAGCTGGAAAGCGCCATGTCTGTGCTGCTGTTGTAAAAGTCGATGTGATCGAGGTGATGCGGCTCACACATCAGCCCCCGCCGGTGGTTTCTGCAGCAGATTAAAAGGTTTTCCCAGTCAGCAACAATCAGTTCGCACTGTGTCCAATGGAAGCCACAGCAGCTGATGTTCAACAGTGGCACGCCAATGCTGGTGCGAAGGTGGCGCTAGTGTCAACATGGACAAAGGGTTGGTTGGGGATTGCGAGTACTGAGGAAGCAAACATCCATACTACAGCAATGACAAACTACAGCTGTTGCACCTGTTCAGTGCTGTATGACCACCAGGTCGCCAGACGCTATCTTCTTGACAGACATGCCATCTAGGATGCTGGGCACACCCCTTCCAATCAGATATTCTCGTGACTTCCATGCTGCTGACGTCAGCCCAGGAAATTTATGAGGGCAACTACCAGTGGTATGCAGTATGTAAATCTTACATGCTGGGCGGCGTAATGCAGCGCATGACAAAGTGTATATGTAACAGAATGTGTATAAATATGAATGTGCACAATGTACTGGTACAACGCACTGGTGCATGGTGTGGGAAGGGCAGGCTGCTGCCTGCGCACCAATGCATGATTGTACTTACAAAAATGTGACACACACTAACCATGCACCTGGGAAGCAACGATTGGCACCTTTCCATCCATGCAGCTTTCCTGTGATCAGCTGTCACGGTGGCTGGGAAATGAACAGCTCATTCCCCAGCGATGCCAATGGAACAGAAGAAATTTAATAATGGAAGGCAGCCCTTGGACGATTTGATGCACAACTGTGGGCAGTTGCAGTAAATTCCACCCACCCAGCAGGCACACAAGATGTGACTTTCACAACTTCATGAACTCAACAAACGAATTCCAACACTGTCAGTCAGACATGATATGGCTTAGAACGTGTCGCATAAACATGTTGGGTATTGATACTGCAGCTGAACATAGATAACATTGACACCATTGCACAGATAAATAGCACAAACATTATGTACTCACCTGATGGCCACAGACGAAGTAAACTTCAGCGACTTGTCCATTACACAGAGGGCCTGCCTCTGCCTCCCGCTCGTGCTGGCCTTCCCGCACCCTGCCATCTGCTCAGCTGTCCTTGCCATGTGCCCCTCGTGCGGCATCGCTGAGTCCGTGGACTGCATGCGCTCGGGGCCCAGGTTGTGACATGGGGAGGCTGGGCCATCCATGAGGCAACTGGCAGACCTGCTCCTCCGATTCATCCACATCTCTCTGGTGAACACAGGGCTAGGGCAGCACCCGGGCAATGGCACCACTTCCTTTTGGCTAGGCTGGCTATCAACAGGCGGTGTCTCCTCCTCAAATGCATTGGGTTCGATCTCCCCGACCATGGTATCTGACCTGAACCAAACATCACATAACACTTGTTCAACTGAGTAATAGACTAGGAAGTGTAATATAGAGCATATGCCATACCATATTCAACTCATCTGCTTTGAGCTTTATTGTTACTGCATGAGGCATTTATTCTCTGTACTTTGCGAAATCAGTGTGGCTTTCATTTTCTTGCTTTGTGAAGCCTCACAAGCAGCTGAATGTGCAGGACATTCGACTGAATGACCTTGGGGAGTGTAAGAGTGATTCTGTTGATGCATCCAAATTTATATAACCATAACAGTGATGTACAGGATCCATCTGCCAAGGGGGTTAAGAGGGTGCATTCCATGGAGGTCAAACAGAAGGACGCATGCTATACTTGTCAACATCATGGGCTGGTGCCTCTCTAATTTTGGTGTGGTCTGTTTAGGTGTCTTTTGCTCATCACGTCTCCAGATTGGAATCGCCAGTGATTTCTGCCACTACGCCAGAATGGCAAATGCAGCATAGCCATGTGGTAAGGTTATACAAAGTATGGGAAGAATTGTCAGGAAACAATCAACATCAATAAGAATGCCTCAGCGCTGCTGCAGTGCCTCAAATAGAGTCAATTTCATGACGTTTTCTCAATGTGTTTCAGAGACAGGGCAGGCTTCAATTCGTGAGCATTGGTACCTAGGGAAAGTATAAGATCTGCTGCACAGTGGATCCACAGCGCAGTGAGTATTCCTCCTCATCGGTACATATGCTTCCTTCTCTTGGTCATCAACCCCACTGAGTGGAACAAACTGCTCGACAAAGGTGGTGGAACTGTGAGCGTATCATCGTCACAACATGCTACTCAATGTGTTGTAAACTTGATCACTTAAACAAATTCAAGTTAGAACACCATCGGGTTAAGCTGAACGTGGAGTGAAACAACCAGTTGTCTGCAATCTAGAAAAGGGCATGGCAGCGCTGGCTTTGTGCTGGCATCTTTTGGCAGAAAAGACTCTTGTGACAATAAACGATCCTTTTTCGGGCCCCAGTGATAAGCTGGCAAGCGAAAACTGGCCTGAAACAGGAAGTCAAAACACAGAGTTGGTTCCATAATCTGGCCCAGTTGGCACAAATCTACTATGTGGCTGGAGAAACAACTCACCCGTCCTCCCACCAGTCTTCCTCCTCCCCTTCAACATCACCGACCTGCTTGCGTCCCATGAACACTGGGGTGATGTAGTCCCTGGACTGTGCGATGTGCTGTCGTGCTTCGGTGGCCCACCAGCCACTCACGTGGGGTGACAGGGAATGGATAGGCCGGGAGTTACGCCAGTCTAGCACGCCACTCACCGACTTGCACACGAATTCATGCATGACCTCCTGCCAAAGGTCCAGCCCGGCGTCAACAGGGAAACCTGCAAAGCACAGATTTTCTGAGTGGAGAGTCCCCCAGTCAGCAATGACTGGTTCCGTGCCAGAATTCTCGGCAATCTCGAAATAAGCACCAGCAGAGGTTACCGGCATCCATTGGCCCACAGAGGACCACAAGGATAATCTTGTCAGTGCACTTGCTTCCATACCACCATAGAAGCAACTACAGCTCTAGTTTTAATGCACAGGTGGGCGTAGACACCCAATCAGTGCTGCAGCGATTGGATATGTAGGCAGGGGAATGAGAGCCTTCAGAGCCACTGCGGCACTAGCAGCAGGTGTTGGCTTGATGCACAAAGTGCCTGGACTCAAAATGGCCTGTTTGTTCCTATGAAACTATATGCTGACCCCAACAAGGCCACCACGACAACACAATAGCACCCAACAAGGTCAGAAATACCACCAAAACTGGCTGCCATTGATGGTGCAAAGACGCCACACAGACACCCTATAGTGCAGGAAGGGCATTTGCTACCTTCGGCAACAGCTGCCATCGCAGAACTCGCCACTGACAGCTCGTCTGCAAGGAAGGCTGCCTCAAGACGCATGTGATAAGCTGCAAAGATGGCCTGCCTCACAGCCCTTGCAACCTTGTCCATCTGCTCGGATGCATCCCCATACAAGACAACCGTGCATACGAGTGGCACCTCGCAGCCCTTAAATATCATGAGAGGTTGGAAGGCAGGCCGTTTCATGCGGCCATCAACCACTGCAGGTTTTCTGATCACATCGATGACAGCAAATTCCTCACACCGCCCCATACTGCTCTGCTTCACCTCAGACACTGACTTCAGATTTACAACCTGTAAGAGCAAACGGCAATGAGCGTGAATCGAAGAACACCTTGCAAATCTTGCTCTAGTTGCAATTGCCAACATTTGCAAATGCCATATGCACTTTCAGGTGACAACAATCAAAAACTGAAAACCAATCGGTCACAATTCCATCAATCAGGCTTCCCCAACATTCAGCTTTGCAACTGCCAATCTCCTGCCACACAGCACTGACCCAACATGTGTTGAAGCCACATGTGGCTCTCCACCTCCATTACAGTTTCCTTATAGTTCTCTTGCTGTTCCATACAAATTATTCCCAACAGTGAGAACAGTGCCCACAATAGGCAGCTCAAAGTTCCCTGCGACGATGCAAGATGTGAGCAACACTGAGATTCACCGTCCCCAACCTAGAGCTTGCTGGTGATCAAATTTCGAAAATTTGGAGACATGGCATTGCACACTCACACGGCCCGCACCTCTGCCCCTGTGCACCGCGCCAGCATTTCCAGCTGGGGATTGTCCACATTGTACACAAGTGTGATGCCCTCCTCATTGAGCTTCTCGATTGCCGGCCAGGCCACATTCCTCTCCACAAGTACCACATCTGGCCGGCAGGCGACGATCTTATTTACCACAGCATCAACGTACTCCTTGCCCTGCAGAAAAAGCAGTCAGGTGCCCATTTCTACTCTTTCTTCACTCCACAATGTTAGTCACTCCACTATATTGCAATTTTAAGGGATTAGGCCCTGCCACCCTCCTGACAGAAAAATGTTTCAACTTGCCATCTTGCAACAAACCTCTGTGCTCAGTGAGTGCAAAAGATCTTTAAAATTGCAATTTTAATGGGAATCCTAATGTTCAGTGAGCACTGCCTCTGTACATAAACCAAATATCCCATTGTATATGCTCAAAAAAGTGATTGTAATTCCAGATTCTTCAATGCATTTGCAATCTTTGGTGACGCTGCCCGTGATGCTAAAACGTGCAGTGTTGGTAGGAAACTCATCCAGGACATTCTGGATTTTCAACTTTCCATTCATTTCATAACCTCATGTGCCAGACTGCCATTTAGATGGACGAGTTGCACGTTCATTGCTGCCTTGCAATAATAGCGCAGTGCCCAACATTGCTCCAAAGTGGCATGGAAAACACCTTGCCATGGTTTGATGGTGGCAATCAATGAGGTTATACAAGAGGTAATGAAATCGAAGTCAGCCTAAGGATGCCAGAGTTGGTAAAGAATGTACTGCACCAACCCCAGGTACACCTTGTATGTCTGTTCTCACTTCACTCATCAAAATGTGGCACAGCTCTGTCCTTGCATCAACATGGCGATGCTGGACACTGCTCATTCCAACAAAAACTATGTTCCACGTGTCTTTGTTCCCAAGCACACTTTGACAGGATAATGTCCTCTACAAAAGGCTCCCGGTAATAAATCATGTCACATCATTCTCACGCAGTGATACACTAATGACCACAGGAACAAACAAGCACTGTCTCAGAAAAAGCAGTTTTGGTCAGGTAGGGGGCGTGTGTTGCATGCTGTGTTCCCCCCCCTGCTCTGCAGCTTCCCTCCAAGTTTGGCATTCGCACCCTGCTGAGGTATGCGTTGTTGAGCTGCAGGAGTGTTGATGAGGAGGTCTCGAACTCCAGCGGCCCACTCAACAAGAGAAGCCTTGGATTCGGAAGCTTGAAAGGCATTCGCCTGTGCGCCCTGTTCTTCCTGAGCACCATGCCATGGATGACTTGGCTGTGCTGGGGTCCATGGATGCTGGGCACACACTCCACCTAAAGGCACCAGTCAAGGTAAGGTCAGGATCAGTCCTGTTGCAATTCGAAAGTGAAATTCCATTTACCGCAGCATACTCAACCCTTCCGCATCAAACAGTCTTACCATTACGCCTTTTGCTCTGCATTTCTTTTCAGAGCAATTTTTTATGTCTTCTACTTTGCTCTGCAAAATTTTACTAAAAGAGCACTGTTCATTTTATTGTTTCCTCTGCAAAAAAGGCCAAGAGTTACGATGCTATCCAGAAGGGTTGAATATAGTACGGCAGTCCATGTTTTACAAGTGGCAAAAAGTCAGTTGTGACTGAGCACTGCCCTTCATATTGTGCATAAGCAACATGCCCCTGCATGTTCATGGTGTTTGATGGGCCCCACATGCAGCCTCAAAATTTGTAATGGCCCACATCAGTACAGCGTTCATCATAAATCAGAGGTAAATTTTAGTATTGAGCCTGTTCATGGCCTAGACAGCGCCACTTACATCATCCACAAGGTGATTCGCCAAGGCCAAAGAGTCAATGGACACACGCAGTTGCCAAATGCCCTGAACTGCAGCATGGAAGTATCAGAGAACAACAATAACAATGCCTTGACAGGGTAGGATGATGATTTCTTGGATCATAACAAAAGCCCCTCCATGCCCCCATATTTGTCTTTGAAGTTGTGCATGACCAAGTGTGCCAGCATGTTTGTCTGTGGACTCAAGGCTTCCATGGGCACATTTTTGACAGCATCAATGTCTGTTCTTGTCTGGTGCATGATGTGACCTTGTCAAATCACTGACTTCGATCACCACAGGGGGCAGCCAAGTGCATAGGAAACACTCCCTGCCAGCAGAGATGTACATGTGGACATGTACAAATGGTAATGTATTATGGTGTGAGCAGACCGCAAATAGCACAGAAATATATACCTATTGCTACAAACACCGTATGGTACTACATGCTAGAAGCTGGCGTGGTGCTTTGGCATCCTGCAACAAATGTCGCCAAAGCAGAATTCCCTTTGCTCCAGACAAAAGGCAACTCTAATCAAACAATACCTTGACATAGTCCCTTGGATCAACAATTCCTGTCGCATGGGCAGCAGAGAGATCAAGGCAGCGTGCGGCATTCTGTGCGATGTCCACCAGCACTGGCAGCCACTCCTCCACGTTGGCCACACACATCCCAAACAGAAGTTGCTTCACAAGCCGGACCAAGTGGTCCCGCGCTGCAGCAGCGAGCGCGGCCCTGACAGGAGCACAGAAGAATTGTGAATCCCTGTTGAATACAACTTCTGGACGATGAATTGCCCTTTCGGCCAATGGGCGATGTTGGCATGTGGTGTGACAAAGTCTGCAACAAACTGCCATGTGATGACATGGCAGACCAGCTGAGGCAATGCGGATGGCAGCAGCCGTGAAGGTATGCACAACTGCCTGCCAGCCTGCATGGTTGACCATCAGTTGATTCAGTTCATTTTTATTCAGCTTCAGCACGCAAATTATCAACTGCCAACAGCAACCTTTCAGACAGGATTCTGGCGTTGCAACAAGTTGTGTCAAGTTGCCTTTGGGGAAAGCCCGTGTTGCCTTCGCCAAATACTGGTCAACACTGCATTTGGACAAAATGGTCACAACTCCCTTGCACAGAAGAACCCCCTGTCCTTGCCTTTGAAATGCAAATGTCTGTTTCGTCATATAGTGACAAGTGCCACCACAGAAATGCCATCTCTGCCTCTGCCACAGCCAAGGTCACTGTGCACGCTTCAGTGCATGAGGGTATATAAGGCATTAGGGGGTGCTTTGAGATGGGCTGCAGCCCAAGTTCTCCCTGCAGAGAGTTGCAGTGTCAGGGGGAAGTGGCTGACATCACCAATTTTGCTGAAGTGCTGGTAGGACTCGGGCCAACACCAACATCACATTGGTACCAATCAATGGACAATATCCACAAAAGCTGCCAAGTTGAATGTGAACCCGTGATCGTGGGAGATGCATCTTCGCCCAGAAGGGGCAAGGACTACAAATGCAAGCATGGATTTCAGGCCTTGCAGCAGCTGAGTAGAGAACACAAAGCATAATGTTGGCAAACAGGGTCACTATGAGATTTTCTCAAAACCATTGGTTTGCAACATTCCATTTATCGACCCCTCCACTGAGCATGCCTGTGAGCAGTGACAAGAACGCCACCTCACCTGCAGCCCTCGTATGCATGCGTGAAATCTACTTGCTTCAGAACCCCCTCTCTGCAGGACAAACAGCCATCCTCTACAGGTCCTATGCTGCCATTCTCCTTGGACGCTGCCTTGCCATCCCCTTGCCCTTTCGTTTGCGGGGCTACGATGCCATTCTCCTCCACGGGAGGGGGGACATCCCAAGTGAGGGCCCCGTCGGACGCCAGCGCCACCGAAAACACCCTTTCCCCATTCTTCTCGCAAGAGCAACTCTGCGCACGGTCCACACAACATTTCCCGATCAGGCCGCGCATCCCGCGACAACCCAACGCATCCAAGGCGGGGCGGCAGACGCACCCACTGTTGGGCACAGGTCGCCAGCCATGCAGTTCGCTGCACGAACCATCTCGTCCAATTCACGAGCTCGTTCGGTTGAAGTTGCGAGCCAAGAGCGCGACAGGGGCGGGCATTGCGCTGCGGGTCCAGCGCCCAACGCCGATAGGCCCCCCTGGCCCATCGGCAGCGCGGGAACGCCGGAGTCGCTGCCCGCATCCTCAATCCAATGTCCCGCTGCCCGCACGAGTGCCGCAGACCGTGGCGGGCTCCGGGCACTGATCAGCTCGCCCCTCCGCCCCGCGACCTGCCAGCCCTCGAAGGGCGCCCTCTGCCCAAATGGAACCCTGCCCGCTTCCCGGTGCCCCTGCCGTAGGGTTTCCACAACCCCAGGGCACTCCCACCACCCCTCGGCTGTCGCAGGCGCGACGATGAAGGTCAAGCCGCCGGCCGTCGCCCCCAAGCCTGCATGCAGGCCGACCGGGGCGGCTAATCGCCCTGGTGCGCTAGTCGCCCATCACCCCACCTGCATGCTCCCGCGAGGTCCGCCCGTTGTCGCGCCCCGCTACCGCCGACCGATGCCCCCCGCCGAGGGACCTGGCAGACGCGCCCACACACAACGCGATGTCAGGGCCAGCCCTCCCTCGGACACCCGTGCCCCAGCGGCCGCCGCGATGCGACCCATCGCGCGGGCGCACCCGCCGGCGCGCACAGTGGGCCGCGACCCTCAACCCCGGAATGCCCTCCGTTCGCCGCCCCCAATCGCCGCAATCCGACGCCGCCGCCCGCCGAGACGCCCATAGGCGGCAAGGCGCAAGGCACCGCGGCCCCAAGCCCGCGCGGCGCGCTCCTGTCCCCCCTCGCCCCCTCCTCCCCCATCCCCAACCCGGGGCCAAAAAAGCCCCTGGCCAGGGGGCGGCCACCCTCCCCAGCCCATCCCCAGCCGCATTCGCACTGCTACAGCTCAACCGTCAACACCCAATCCCGCCCACACACACCTCTACAAGCGCCCCCCCTCCCCTGTGGGCACTCCTCCTTCCCCCCTTTCCCCAGATCTCCCCACCCCCCCCTGCAAGTCAAATGACCGCCACACGGCACACCACCAGGTCGGAAAACCGCCAGATTTTCCCCCTTCACTACCCTCAGCCCCACCCACCTGCTCGCGATCGGCTCAGCCGCCCACGCCCATCTCCCGCCGACCTAATCCCCCGCCTCGCGCTGCCCAGGCCCCCCCGCGCGGCCCCCGTCTCCGCTCAAATCCCGCCGCCGCCCGCCTCCGCCTCAGGCGCTGACAGTGCTTTGGCGTGTGCTGGCCCTGGGGCGCCTTTCGCGGCGCCGCTGTGGGCCCCCGGGCGCCGTGTAGCTTTTGGCGTCCTGGTGCGGGGGGCTGGCAGCTGTGGGTGGGGGAATCGGAAAGGCGCATGTCCAGTCAGCGGGTTGCAGGGGCCCCTATGCCGCTGGGGGGGGAGGCCGGTGTGTGACAGAGGGGAAGGTGGTGGGCGAGTGGACAAGGGGCGGAAGCGGCTCGGGGACTTCTTAAGAACGTCCTTGGGCCTTCCGGCCAGCCCCCGGCCAGGCGCGACATGAAATTAGTCGATCTGTCTTTTTAGTGAAGACCCCTTCTTGTTTCTATGACCTAAGCCCTAAACCAACCCATTGATCCACGTTGGCCCTGTCAGCAGAAGAAGCGATCCTCGGGGAAAAGACGGAGGACTAATTATATTCTTCCCGAGCGCTTGGGGCTGCAGTGTCATCTTCATCGCCAGCTTTTGTGCGACAAGGGAAGGGGAAGCTTGTGGCTTCCTGTTTTGCGAGAGTAAAACGGTGTCCGTGATATCACGACACATCGATGTGTCCGTTGGATTCTAATGTTACGCCAGAGCTTGCAATGGACTTTACGGCAGAACGCAAAGTGCAGGATCCATCAGTTCCTAATTTAAATTAGGAACTGATGGATCCTGCACTTTGCGAAAACACTTCTTCTCGAAAAATTTTTAGAGAAGTGTTTGTCGCTGGTGGCACACGGAAAGAAGTGTTGGGCGCAGCGTCAGTCAATCGATTAAGAACGATTGCGGTGTACTGTATCGTCAGGAAATACGTAACAGTGCATTGCACTGCATTCCACAATGTTGCAGTGGCTGCCTGGCCAGCGAGCCACTCCCCATGGGTGAGGCGGTGGCAAATTAACCTCGGGCGGTCTGTCGAGCTGCCTGACCGCCCAGCGGCATCCCACTAGTACCGATGGCACTATGACACCACGGCGTGTTGACTGATTGTTAGTTTCCGCCGGGCCGGGCTCCTTGTCCCACCCAGGTCCACACACACACTGGACCAATACATTACACGACATTGTTTGTCCCAATACAACCCGAGGTACCCACAACTTAGTGTGCCCAATCGCTTCGCTAGTAGTTAAGCCAGTCCCATACAAGACTCAGCCCTTGAGTCAGACCCACCACTCCTCATTTCCACGTCCTTAACTCCCACACTTGCCCAAATCAACCGAACATCACCCTAATAAGGGGGGCCGGGCGGGAAGCGAAACAAGATAATGTGGGGACCGAGGGGTGAGCCTAAGTAGCCTCCCCGCTCGCGCCCGCCAAAGACCGCCGCTCCCAAGGGCGCCAAAAACCACTGGCCCTCCTTGAACGCGACGGACCAGCCACTGACCCAAGGTACAGGGGGACAGAAACCCCAAGGGGCTGCCAAAACCATTGTACTTTAAGCAGCGCTGGCCCAAGTGGGCCAGCGCGCCCGCCCCTCGTCGCCCTGGGCGGAAACCACTTAACAAGATAGTTAATCCCATTTCCGCCGGGCCGGGCTCCTTGTCCCACCCAGGTCCACACACACACTGGACCAATACATTACACAACATTGTTTGTCCCAATACAACCCGAGGTACCCACAACTTAGTGTGCCCAGTCACCCTCAAACACACTGCGCTCCTCCGGAGCAGAAGATGTGGCCATACCTGTCATGCAAGTCCCGGGCGGTAATCGTCATCCACCCGAAAAGGCGATAGTCCCACTCTGATGGGATGCGATACACATCGATGTACCGTCAGAGGGCAGCGCCCCGCCAGTCGCCCCAGTGGCGGATGCGCTGTTCGGGCACCTCCAAGGCGAAGCAGGCCGACGCCCCACCTGCGCGTAGACCATGGTGATCGAAAGCGCCCGGGTGCAGGTCGGGAGAGGAGGCCAGGAGGTCCCGAAACCAAGAGGAAACCGTGCGGGCGGACGGGTCGCGTTCGCCCGGGAGCGTGTAGAAATGCGTCGGCGTCCCACCCGCATGCGCCCAGGCGCGATCCCGAAAGGCGCCCCAACGCAGGAACAAATTCACCAGCTCGGGGGCGCCCTGCGAAGGCCAGGAACGGAGGCGGACCGCCGGGTCCGAATCGGGCTTGAGCTTGGTCTTGCGTTCCCGGAAGATCACAACGCCATCCGTCACCCGCACGTCGTCCAACAGAATGAAATGGCCGCTCTGGGCCCGATTAAAGAAAACGAAGTCCAGCAGGGCGGAAACCGACGCCCGCAATAGGAGGAGGTCGTCGGTGAGGAGGCCGCGCTCCAGAATGCGGAGCATCAAGGTGGCCGGCACCGGAGCATGAGAGGCCGCAGGCTCCGGGCATTGCCGACGCCAGGACCGGGTGAGCAAACGGGTCACCCGGTCGAAGGCGGAAAACTGCAGATGGCTGGCGACCTGGTGCACCATGGAAATGGCGGCCAGGTACTGCGGGAGGCTGCGGACGCCCACGCGACCCTCCTCCCGTAGAAACCGGATGTAACGGTAGATCGTGGCCGGGCGGGCGGGGAGGGCCTGGAGCTCCACGGAGGCGCAGAACGCCTGGAACTTGGCGAACTTGGCCTGCATGGACCGCCGCGTTGACTCCGTGTAGAAAGACAAAAACTGCGACAACATCCATGCGCAGTCCGATTGCAGCATGCCGTCGACGTCCAGCCTGTAGAGGGGGTGATCAGTCGGCATGGCCTCCACCGGGAGCGGATCATCGGGGGGAAGCGCGACCTCCCTGGAGGGTGACCGAGCGCCCGCCCCTAGGGAGGCTTCCGAGGGCAGACATGAAATGCCCGAAGGTTCCACTTCGGCGGAGGAAGGCGGGCCGGAAGAGTCGGATCCCCTGGGCGAAACATCCCCGGATGGCGGGGAATCAGAAGGTCCTCCGCCGCAAGAGTCCGGAGTGGCTGAAACCAAAGCGCGCTCGGCCAATCCGGCGCGACGACGACGGCCTCCACGGCGGGCCGAGCGGCGAGGAAGGAGACGAGCCGGGGAAGGAGGCACCAAGGGGGGTTGCACCAGTTGGTGTCCCCCGTCCAGTCCTGGAGAAAGGCGTCCGTCCCCACGCTCCCCACGTCCGCGTGCAGGCTATTGTACCTTGGGCAGAGGGAATTCGCCGCGGAAGCAAAGCGGTCGCACGACCGGCGACCGAAGCGCTGAGTCAGGCGCTTGAAAAGGGCCGGGTGCAGTTGGTAGTCGTCCGCCACCCGAACCCGGGACAGCCTGTCCGGTATGACGTTGTCCTCCGACCGAATATAGTTCGGGTCGAGCAGGAGGTGGCGCGCCGTACAGACTCGGTGCAGCTGACGAAGGGGGGTGAGGAGCTGCTTGGAACGGGTAGTCATGCTGCGCAGGCAGTACATGACCACCTGGTTGTCGACCAACAACTTGAGCCTCGAAGGAAGGCCATGGGAAGCAGCCGGAAAAAAGCTGAGAATGGCTCGCTCCACCGCCTGCATCTCACGCACATTGATGTGCGTTAAGGAACGGTCCCAAAACCCCCTCGCGAGGAGGGGGCGAGACCTCGTCGGGGAAGCAAAGGTGGCCCCCCAACCGGTCAGGCTGGCGTCCGTTGCCAGAGTACCGGTGAAGGGGATGGCGTCGGGGTTGAGTGGACGGCCTTCGCAGCGGCGGATGTTGACCCACGCCTCCAAGTCCAGCCGGGCTTGGGGGGAGAGGATCAGGCGATCCCGCCAACTGCGCTTGGAACGAAGAACCGCGTAGAGGCTTTGCAAAAAAAATCGTGCCAAAGGAAAGGCCAAATAAAGGGAAATGGCGAGGCCGCAAATACGTGCCAAATCCCTTGCCACAACCCAGCGGCTGGATCGCAAAATGCGGGCCTGATTGGCGATCAACGCGGCCTTGTCCGGAGGAACCTCAAAACGGCCATGGGCCGTGTCCACAATCACCCCCAAATGCTTCTTGCGCATGGTGAGGGTCCATTGACACTTCCGCTCCTTGAATTGGAGGCCCAGCGAGGCAAACACACCCCGAACCAATTTCGACCATCGAGTCAAACGGGCGGCATCATGCATGGCCGCCAAAAAATCATCGAGATAAGCCAACAAAATGGCTGGCGGTTCACTAGTATACACTTGAAAGTATGTAGCTATTGAGTCATCCCCTGCTAGGCACCCGAAACGGAAATGGCGAGCAGCCTTGGGGCAACTGCCCGGGGACCTCAAGAAACGACCCACAACAAGCATCAAATGGGTAAAAAAGAAAGGAGCCAACGAAAGT